TCCCTCCCCGCCCCTCCGCGGAGGCCGGCGGCCCGTCTCCCTCGGCCTCCTCCACCCCCTCGGGGTCCCGTCCTTACCGTTCTGAGCGGCGCCGGGCCCCGGGAGCAGGCAGCCGGTGACCAGCAGCAGGGAGAGGGCCAGGGAGCTGGGGAGCGGCGAGGCCGACATCCTCTCTGACCAGAGACACAGCGGCGAATGGGGCGAGCGGGAGGGGGAGGGGGGAAGAAGGGAGGGAGGGAGGGAGGGAGGGAAGGAGGGAGGGCGCGAAGGAGAGAGGGTGCGCGCGCAGGAGCTCGAGCGTGAGAAGGCGGCGGCGGCGGCGCGGCAGCGGCGGAAGCTACTCCGGTCCTCCGCTGTCCTCCGACTGCCGCAGCACTCAAACCTCGCGAGAACACCGCGCTGGGTGACCGAAAAGCCCTCGCGAGAGGAGAAGGGGGCGGGGTGGCGGAGGAGGAAGACTCGGCTGGAACGCCGGCCCTCCTCCTCCCGTTCTGATTGGCTGAGGCTGCGATCACGTGATGAGGATGCCCTTTCCCTCCCTTCCCGCCTCATCACGTAAAGCGAGCGGCTGCGGAAGGGGCGGGACTTGGAGCCGGCGGATGAGAGGAAGCGCCTAGGAGTGTAAGGAGCGTGTGAGGGGTCATAGATCATGGCGTGGTTGGACTCTAGACTTAAGGCTGGGAGGAGCTGGTGTAGTTCGGACCATTAAGGACTCCGAGTGCCTGTGTGGTACAGCGCGGAGCCTCAATTTTCTCCTCTCTGAAATGGGGATGAGAATACCTACCGTAGCTCCTGGACGTGGGTTGTGAAGAAAGTGTCAATCGCCTTAAAAATGTGAGTCATTACGGAAGACCATTGCAGCTCCATCCTGCCCTTAAATGTTCCCAAAGTCACACAGCTGAAGTATTTTGAGCCCAGATCCTCCAAATCGAAGCGCTCCTCCCCCAAAAAGCGTCCCCGGGCGTCTCTCAAAGCAGGCAATGAATCCAAGCTGTCGACAGCCAGGACCAGTCACCAATCAGCCCACCAGTAGTATTATTATTTATTATTAGGCGCCCGCTGTGTGCCGGGCACTGGTGAACGCCGGGGAGCAGCTCCCCCCTCCGAGGCGCTCGGACTTCGGGTGAGGCTACGTGCATTCAGTCTTACACAAACGAGGGCTATCTCCGTGGAGATAATCACCGAGGGCAGGCCGCAAGATGAAGGAGGACTGGAGAAGGCTGGAACTGGAAGGATGCCCTGACGGAGAAGAGGAGACAGACCCCCAGCGTGGGAGAAAGCCACTGAAAAGGCCTGGAGTCTGGATTGGAGAGGATGTGCAAGGGAGTGAAGTATAAGGTGACTGGAAAGGTAGGAAGGACTGAGAAGGCAATAAGCACTTACTATTCCAGGCCACAACCCAGTGAGGTGGGTGCTATTATGATCCCTATTTGCACTTGGAGAAACTGAGGCAAACAGGGTTAAGTGACTTGCCCAGGGTCATACAGCTAGTAAGTATCTGAGGCCTGATTTCAACTCACGAAGATGAACCTTCCAGACTCCAGGCCTAGCACTCTATCCACTGAGCCACCTCCCTACCCCCCCCCACTTCTTTTAAGTACCAGCTAAAATCCTACCTTCTACAGGAAACCTTTCCCAATCTCCCCTAATTCTAGTACCTTCCCTCTGTTGATTATTTCCTGTTTATTCTATTAATAGTTTTTTTGCTCATACTCATTTTCTTGTTGTCTTCCTCATTCAAATGTGAACTCTTTGAGGGCAGGAGTTGTGTTTTGCTTTTCTTTGTATCCCTAGCACTTATTGCAGTGTCTGGTACATAGTTGTCCCTTAAATAAGTGTTTATTCTTGCTGTGTGACTCTGGGCAAGTCACTTAACCCCAATTGCCTCACCAAAAAAAAAAGGAATATAAGTGTTTATTGACTCACTGTTGATGAAGTTGTCAGTTGGTCCAGCCATTCTGAAAAGCAATTGAGAAAATTATCCCCCCCAAGTCCCTAAACTATGTATATCCATTTACCCAGCAATATGCTACTAGGTTTATATGCAAAGAGTTAAAAGAAGGAAAGGACCCCCATATACAAAAATATTTGTAGCAGCTCTTTTTTAATGATAAAGAACCAGAAACTAAGAGGGTGGCCATTAATTGAAAAATGACTCAACAAATTATGGGATATGAATGCAGTGGAATATTATTGTGTTATAAGAAGTAATGAAAGGGATGGTTTCTGAGAAACCCGTTAAGACTTGCAGAAACTGATGCAGACTGAAATGAACAGAACCTGGAGAATGATTTATGCAGTAACAGCAAAAATACCTTCGAAAAACTTAAGAACTCTGATTAAAGCAATGACTTACCATGACTCCAAAAGACGGGTGGTAAACATTCTAGAATCCTTCTGAAAGAGAAGTGATGAATTCAACATGTCAAGTGAAAATGACGTTTTTGGACAAGGCCAATGTAGGAATTTATTTTACTTGATAGGCATATATTATATAGAGGTTTTATTTTTCTTTCAGTCTAGGGGAGAAAGGTTAAGAGGGAAGGAGGAGAGCTAGAGAATTAAGTTATTGAAACGAATAAAAGGAAAAGTACAGAAGGAGGGTCGTGGAAGGATTTTTAAAATGGCATGGAAAACAGTGAATGTCAGTAGGCAACATAAACAAGCTGGACCACTTTGAAAGTAACATGTTGACTTTATTAAATGCTTAGAAATGAAAGGTATGTTCACAACACAGATTCACAGCTCTGCGTCCAATTCCCTTTGTTCTATTTTGTATCTAGAAATGCTCATCTTATTCGGTGTTAAGTTCAGCATTTTTTTTTAAGGAAATAAAAAATCCAAATGCTGAGTAAGTTGGCTACTTAAACGTAGAAATAACTTATTGGTATCATTTTCTTTAGCTCTTGTGCCATACCAGAAGAAGTTGTACCTTCCTGGTCATTAAGACAGTTGATCAGCAAAAATTCATTAAGGTAAAAAACATGGTCCCTGCCCTCAAGGACTCAAATTCTGATGAGAGGCACAACATAAAAATAACTGTACATATGAGATATATACAGTATAAATAGACGGTTGTTTCAGTAGGATGGCCCTCTGTATAGGTTTGAATCTCACAAGAGAACCGAAGGATTTTTTAACTGGACAAGAAACAGGAAAAGTTATAAATCAACAAACAGAATGAAAACAACGTGGATCCTGCTTGGCTACTAGTCATTTTCTGGGTATTGCTGAACAACTGGTCAAACTTTCAAGAGGAATCCTTTGTTCCCCGTGTTCTCAGAATTGTTCAGAACTCAGGCAGAATTTCCTCAAAGAATGAGACTCAAAAGCAAAAAACAACGAAGGGTTTTCTATGATACTGTACTTGTAATCTCAGAATGTTAGAATTCCTTTTACAGATGAGGAAATGGTCTCAGAGAGATACAGTGATTTGCCGAAGGTCACCTAGCTAACTAGTAACAGAGATGGAACTCAGGGGTCTCTAACTCCAGTACTCAACACCAGTAGTAGCAAAGGGGCCACTGAACCATGCAGTAGGATCCCCACAGTCATATAGTGACTTAGAAAACCACATATTAACATTATCTATTCTATTTTTATTTATTTTGTTAAATATTTTCCAATTTGACTTTAATCTGGTTTGGGCCACCCTGGGGAGTATGCTGGCCTCATTGCAGCCCTGATGGCAGGCTTCCCTATAGTACTGCACTAATATTTGGATTTCCTAGTCCTGAGGGCACCCCATGTGACGGGAAACATTCTCCCATAGCATGGTGACTCAATTTCTAAATTTCTAAAATGAGCTAACTACAAATGCCTAAAAGCTTTTTGGTCATTTCAATATGTTATTCCTGTTCTCCCTGCAGTCAGTTCTGAGCCCTCCAGAACTTTATCACCCCATCAGCTTGCTAGCCAGCTAGCTCATCTTGCTCCGGGCTCTTCCCTCCTTTAGTTCAGCCTTAATGCCATTTTCATATGAATCTGATAACAGCATTTATCAAATTGCAAATAATCCTCTGTAGTTAACAAGGCCACTTTTACATCCAATAAAGTGCCTAGCATGTGGTAGGTACTTATGCAATGAAGATTGACATCCAAGGAAACAGTATCCCTAAGAAGTAAATAGGGCATGTGTCATTATCCCCATTTTAAAGATCAGGAAGCTGATGTCCTGAGCTGTTAAAAAGTACATTACATAAGGTCACAGGGATAGTAAAGAGCACAGCCATGATTCAGACTGTGATCTTTTAAATCATTGCCCTGTTCATTACACCAAAAAACTTCCCTGGCTTCCTATCCCATAGGAAAAAACTGCAAAATTCTGTAGCCTGGCACTCAAGGCTTCATCTTCCTCTGGTGCAAAATGAAATTCCAGAATGAGTCATAAAAGGGCTAGTTAGCACACATCTAAAAAAGGAAGCAACACATCCCAGAGAGTCAGCAGGGCTTCATCAGAACAGCTTGTGCCAAACTCACTCTGTTTCCTCATTTGACAGTGACTACTGGCAGATAGATCAGGAAAATATTTACAGATAAAGTTACTTCAATTTTAGCAAAGCATTTGATAAAGGATCTCATGCTTTTCTTATCAGAAAAAAAATGGAAATTTGTGGGCTGGGTGACAGTAGAATTAAATGGATTCAGAACTGGTTGGATTAGTTGGACTCAAAAAGTAATGACTCAAAGAATAGTTATAAATGGTTCAATATCAGCCTGGAAGGAGGTCTCCGGTGAGGTGCACCAGGGATCTGAGCTTATCCCTGGGCTATTGAACATTTTTATCAAAGACGTGGTTCAAGGCATAAATGGAATGTTTGTCATATTTGGAGGTGACAAATCTGGGAAGGATAGCTAACACAATTCGTGATGAGAGTCAGGGTCCAAAAACTCTTCCCTAACTAGAACATTGGGCTGAATTTCATAATATGAAATTCTGTGAGGATAAATGTGACATCTCATACTTTGGTATGTATAAGATTGAATTGAATTTACAGTACAAGATGAGGGGAGATATTAGACAGCAGTCTGTTCAAAAAAGGCCTGGGAGTTTTGGTAGATTACAGACTCAATTTGATACAACAATATGCTGTGGCAACCATGAAAGCTAATGTGATTTGGGACTAGCATGGGGAGTTGCTAGGTACACCATCCAGCACTGTCATCAGAATGTGTCTGGAGGCCCCACCTAAAAAAGCACCATTTAAGAAGAGCATTGATAA